GAATTAACTTTTCAGATAACGTGTGTATTAATATATATGTATAATTTCAATGATTTTAGTTGAGTTTGTATTTGTTCACGGAGTTGAAGATAGGAATGTGGGTACCGCAACAGCAGGACATAGCAATTCTCTCCACCTGGTTGCATCAACATCCTTTAACTTCATCCGAAAGCCATCTGGCTCGATTGGTTCTTACACATTTAAATTGGGGCCTCGACACGTGAGTCATTTCGGTATTTCTAACGTTTTTCGGAAATGTAAATCTCGAAAAAGATAAGGATATAAAAATATCCCATTATTATGCTCAATTTTAAGTTTCTCGAATTTATTTGTCTATTCCTCTTCTCTTTAAATATTTCATCTGATCGAATGTTCTGTGACACAATTAAATGTATCTTCTATTTTTCAATTAATTATCGAGAAACTATAAATTCAAAATTAATGATTAACATATAATCGATCTTTCTCTTATAGAAATGACAGTCTGTATCTTCCGATTGATCTGCATCGACAAGTGGCACTGCTGATTGTCGAACTTACAATGAAACACGTGCCCGACACTCCAGTACAGACGGCTTCGTTGTTAGCTGAAAGCATGAAGCAAGTGAGTTGTCAGTTGTTAAAAAATTAATATAAAATGAATTAAAAAACCACTTTGATTTAAATATTATACAATATAATACACGTATTATTAGCTTTATATATTACAGTTAATATTTTAGAGATTGAGAACGACTATATCGCTATGTCATTGACAAAAAACACGTTCACTAATAATAAGCAAAATCTCAAGTTTATTTTTTATTTTGTCCCAGGTTTCCTCAATGGTGAGACCTCAGAACAGCGAGCAAGCATTCAGCCTGTGGGCATGGGAGATGATTAATAAACTGAGGCTGCATCAGTTGGACCGATCGGAATCTGCGTGTCAATATACCATCTCGAATCCGGCTGAGGGTCTTTCTTGCGTGCCTAACATGGAATCGGACTCCTTCTTAGAGATTCTAGTGAAAGGAGTACGCGAGAAGCAGCCGATCGCGAGCTACGTCTCCGTATTGATGACCCTGTGGGGTCACTCGGTGCCGCTGATCTGCGTCGAGGGTTTCAGCCAGTTGCAAACCTTGCAGTGCTACTATAAATACGAGCAGGTGCTGATATGTTTGCACCATGTGATACCGTTGTTTCTCGAGTGTCCAGATTCCTTACTGAAGAACGACAAATTTGTCAGCTTGATTGTGCCGCTCATCAACGCCGACCGCACGTATATGAAGATAGCGAAGAACCTGATCGCCCCGGAATTCCCCGGCCCGATTCTCAAACAATTTTCCAACATGATTGAATCTCATTTGCATCATTACAAACGGTAGGCACAAACGAAACGTATTTGCATAATGTATGTAATACTAAATATACGAATAAAAAATATAGAATAATATTATTGTAGATTGGATAGTTGAAAAATAATTATTTCTATATCGATGATTACAGGTATTGCTTGAATAGTCCGGACCGTTTCGTGCACCTATGGCTAAATGTATTGATTCTCGTCCAGGACTGGAACAAAGACCATAATGTAATGTATTTGATGGATAGCGTGATCCGTGCGGCGTTCTTTCACTTAGAAGCCAGGGCGATAATGGAGAACATGTTCCAAAATCTCTTCTGCGTAAGTTTTAAGCAATGTAATTATGTATCACATATACAACATCATAGAAATTAGCAAAAGTTTAGTAGAAAGTAGATTTCACTTTTAGTAGTTTTGTATCAAATACTAAACGATTGTAATTTTCTATTATAATAATTATAATTATAGTTGTGTTCCATGTTTTTAACAAAATATTTATTTTGTTAGCCTGCTATAGACGGAAGTAATGAGGTACGACACATAAGAAACAATTTTTCTAATCTATATTATTTTTTCAAGTTAATATTACAAGTTAATTTTTCCAAGTTATATACTTACGTAGATAGTTAAAAAAATTTTAATACTTATAAATTTTATAAAATTTAGATATTGCATAGTTTTAATATTATGCAAAAAATGATTTCTTTTATTTGATATGCATGGAGGGGTAAAAGCCATAGTGGTGTAAGTCAAATTTTTTAAGATATTGACTCATGTGCATAGATATGCAATGTATATAATATATAAATTGCATTTATGGCACACGAGTCAATATTTTAAAAATTTGACTTACACCACTATGGTTTTTATCCCTCCATATATATATGTATATAATTTTATGTAGTTTAATAATATAAATTTTCGGTTATTACTATCATACTTACACTGTAAATGCACTTAATAAACGCATTTGGATATGTAATTCATAGAATATATCGTCCAATCGGGCGCCCGGGTCGTTTGGATCATTTCTGAGTTGGGCAACAGGCTCTTCTAACTCAGCAAGCCTCCTTGGTGGAACCGTTCCAACAATATGGCTCGCTTATCAAATTCTGTCAACAGAGCAACACGATAGGGAGCTTAAAACCGGACTGTGGCGCGAGATCCTGCGAGAACTGTCAATGCAATCCAAGATATCTTTAGACACTGCGCTCAAGGTTTAAAACCAAGCGTATAATTATTAAACATACTCCGAGTATGTAAAATTATAACTATGAAAATCATTTCAGAGGGCCTGTGCAACAGTGAAGATTACTCCGTTCGGAGTAGGCAACCTGGCTATTTATCGCTGGTCCCAGCAAGCCCTTGATACACCCATGGATCATCCCATTCTGCCTCTCTTGTGGCAGAATTTTTTTAGCTTGTTCCTCGCACGAGCTCCTACCATCCCAGGGTGATTATTATTGCCTTAACAAAGCAATAGTTTTCATATTATTACTCGGCAATAATTTATTATTTTATTTTTAATTGCTCCAGATCTATGGACAAAGGTGGGGTCGGAGAAAAATTTTTTGAGGGGATGATAAATCTAAGCTACTTGAAGAAGTTGAAGAAACGACTGCACGAAACGACAGAGTATTTCCAAATGAAAGGAGAAAAGGACACGGACAATGGAAAACCGATCACGGATGATCGGCGTGTATTTTATTTCAGTGCTGCAAAGTAAGTGAACGCATATAGAGAGAATGAAATATTTTTCTTGAAAATATATCTTATGGAACGATATTTAATGCAGGTTTTATAAAACATTGAGCCTTTGGTTGGAGGAACCTCGTCTTCAGGAACCGGGACTTTATCTTCCAGCCCTACCACCGCAATATATGTCACAGAGGCTAATTCTACTAATGCAAGGAGATCGAGTAAGTCAATCATGCTCTCAAATGACATACGACTTCGCATAGTAATACTGTTAATAATAATATTAATTGCCAACTTCCAGACCCTCTGGCTGGAATACGTCGACTACTGGGCGGTGCACCAGAGCCAACTCAAAGCCGTTTGTGAGTGGGAACGTGCGACGTTCCGCGATCCCGAGAACCAGTACCAGAAGTTTTCTCAGCCTTCGTCGAACGCCATAGAATCGATCGAACCTCTTTGCAGAATCTTCCGCAGGCTGAGCTCCTACGAACCGCCGGTTCCACCGCCGCCTTTGAGCCGCAATCAGCCGGTGCTGGGCTGCTTAGCCAGGGAATGCCTTTACAACTCCGCTACCGTTATCGATCTAGTCAAACCACATCTCAGAGTCATCCTTGACTATGCACAGACCTACAGTCTCATGGTATCCGAGCACACCGCGGCGGACTGCAGCTTCCTCGAACTAGTTCCAACTCTCTATCGGATCTATGAGAACCACGTTGCCTTGCATGCTCTCTGCGACCCTGCGCCATCCGGTCAGAGGCGCTCTAGATCAGGCACACCTCCCACTGTGCATTGTGCAGGCCCGGCGATCATCGAGATCACAGTAAAGAATATTAAATATTAAAAGATTTATAAATATACAGGCATACTTTTTTATGTAGTAATTTTTATCCGAATCAAAATTTTTAAACTATGTTTTTAGGAAAATTTTATATTTTATAGGTTGAGGAGGCGCACGTCAGCGAAGGCGTGGACCACATGATAACCCAGAACCGGGCCGAATATGAGAATCTCTTGGTGAAAGCTAGTCAACCGCCACCCAGCAAGGTCACTCTGGGCTGCGTTTTCACCGATCATTTAATCGCGTAAGCAGAGTTTAGTCAGATTGATCTTGTACGCGATCACATTTTTTAATTCTCGTCTATTCTCGTTCTTCAGGATGTTGGAGCACGAGTTGGCTGTCAGTCGTACTAACGAAAACATCACCGTATTACGCAAGGTACAAGAGAGTGGAGTCAAACTGTTCTATCATTTAGTAGAATTCTATACGGAAGAAGCAGCGCTATGCCCTCCCACGAAGCAGCTTATCACTACTTGCTTGGAGAAGCTAGGACAGGTGCGTATTAAATTTAAAATTTCGGTATTTGCCCGCAAGAAAGATCATAAATATTTTTTTGTCTATAATCTTCTTTTTTTTATTGTGTATGATCTCACGAAACAAACTTGCATAAAGCAAAAACGAATTACAGAAACTGTGAATCTAAATATATACAGAATGGTAAAAACATTTCTCAAGTATGGATTTCCATTCTATTCTCAGTTGTTCATCAGCGGCGAGGAAACCCAGGGTCCGCAATTACTGAACGCTATAATTCAGAGGCCTAATCTCGGAGGTCTGTTGGGACCACACTTTACTCCTGTCGCTGGAGGAGCCTCCACATTCTTGCAAATGTATCAAACCGTCGTGGACCTGTCAACCGGGTCCAATGTCGACTTGTGCTTCGTATTGCTCTCGAAGGTAAAATAGTCGAACTATAATTATAATCTTCGATTACGACTACTGGATTATTATTGTCTCTGTTGCAGTTTGACGTCGGCAGCTGGCTGAACTATCGCCGTCCGCGACTGAGCGAAAGATCTACCTTCATAGATCTAGTTTCAAGGGCGTTGTGCGACATAGGCTTGACTCCTGAAGAGGAAAAGCTGATGCTGCATGAAGTGAGTATCTTTATTCGTATGTTGGATCTGACAACTTAAATTTAATTAGATCGAAACTTATAGAAATTGAATTAGATTAGAAACATTGTTACATTTATTTCCGTCGAAAGGAAAACTCAAAATTATGATTATTATTCACGCAGCTGTTTCGAAACCATCTACGACTCATTCTTCTGCACGAATTCCCCGAGCACTATGGTGAAGTATTGAGCGCAGTGCTGAGAGGATCTGAGAGCCAGAATCTGTCTCTAGATGTGTGGCGCGACTTGTTGGGAGCTCTCAGCGGCAAACCAAGGAATATCGCGCCCTCCCAAAATCCTGCCAAAATCAGAGACGAAATCAGGCACTACGCTACGGAACAGAGGCTGCTGTCTCGCCAAGAGGTCTGATTTCACAAACAATTTTGTTGTCGGGAATGATTATGCGTGTACAAAAAGAAACATCTTACATTTACTGCTTTATTTTATACGTAATAATAAAACAAAACTTGGTAT